CCAACTCAGGCAAAGTTTGAAGTAAGGTCTGCTCGCAAACTCAGGTATCGTGGAGAAGGGGTCATTTTGAGATTGATTGTTTTTCTAACCATCTCGTCTTGGGAACTGACATTATTTCTTCGAATATATTAAAAGGGAATTCCTTATAAATGAGCTAGATATGGACGTAGATGTACGTAAGCTAATGAAGGATGCAAAAGCCAAAGGTTGGAGCCCGGGATCAGAAACGCCGGTCGATGGTTAGTCGGACAATTTTGTAAATACCACCCCATATTGTTCGGTCAAACATCTGCAGTATTATCTAATGCTAACAGTCTTAACTTAGACACTTTTTCGTCCTGTAGAATATATGGATCCTTTGCGGTTAACAAAGTGGCAGGAAACTTTCATATTACTGCCCTTGGAAGAGGATATATGAATTATGTCATCGATCTGTCCGGTATGATAAGACGTAATTGATTTAATGTGGGAACACATTGTAGTATTATATACTCACAAACACTTTTTTTTTTTTGACAGCAATAAATTTCACTCACAGAATAGACGAGTTTTCATTCGGTACACATTATCCCCAATTAATCAATCCATTGGACGACAGCGTTGAAATTACTGAAAAATGTGAGCTAAAGTTTAATTGTTTTACTTGTTTTGCAAGAATATGGCTTGCTTAATACTTTCTCTTTGGTGGTGACAGCTGCTACAATCTTCAATTATTTCGTGTCAGTCGTAAGTAAATAGTTTCATTGGGTTTAAATTACATAAATTTGCACGCTTTTTCTTATACAACATTGTCTTTGCATCCTTTTCAGGTTCCAACAACTTATGTGGACAACAGTGGCCGCAAACTATTAACAAATCAGTACGCAGTGACTGATTACTCAAAAGAGATTACATTGAGCGGAACCGAAGGAGTTCCAGGTATTATTATATTCATCTTAATGAAGACAAATTCACGTTATCGTCATCTCAATGAAGACAAATTCACGTATCATTCGTTGTGCTTGACCATTTTATGACCGCGCGCGCAACAGGCATCTACTTTACGTACGAAATAGAGCCAATCTCGGTTCACATAACGGAAAAGCGGTCCTCGTTTGCTACCTTCCTGGTGCGTCTTTGTGGGATTGTCGGTGGAGTTTGGGTCACTGCAGGGTTTGCTTTCCGTGCTGCTGATCATGTATGGGTTGCTATCTTTGGAGCTAACGCTAATAAATAGAAATGGTGGAGCAAATAAGCGTGTTGACAATATTAACTATAACGGTGACGGTCCATCCGCTAAAAGGGTTGATAGAGCAACACGTAGACCAGCTGATTAACGCTTGATAATTTAATAGAGTTGCAATCCTGTATTCAATAAAGTAATTATTTAATGGACAGATCACATGATTATGGTAATCAAAAAATTATGCCATAATTTTCGGCAATTGCATAGCATGCTAAATTTCATTCGTCTTATTACTACAAATTGAAATAAAACATTTCCATACATGTAACGCTACGCAATTGCTGTCAAGCATATCAAAGAACCACCGTTAATTCGCGTCCAATGGCGAGGTGAAAAGGATAGCGTAAAATAACATGCAAATTTCGAAATCTCCAATGACCCATCAGATAAATATTTGGTGCCGTCTTCTCCAGTCCAAGTGTGGCCCTCTTCACTGATTCTGGCGATTCCAGATCACACCTGCGTTCCATGACCCTCGGACACTGGTTTTTTCGCTGTCTTGAAGCACAAGGACTGATCAACTTTGTATCGAGAAATTGGAATTCTGATGTTTCACGCTACATTGCGCATTCATTTTTTTCAAACGTCCTTCTGAGGGCGTGAACTAATGTGACAGTCATTGGATCACAAAGAATCAGCCGATATATGCGCCTTTATCAGATGATATGAAGGTTCCGTTAGGCTGGCTTCTGCATTAGGTCCCTGTTGCTTTGGTTTCTTTGCCTTTGCCTTTTAGTTGGTCTTTTTGTCTGGACGTTTGCCTAAACCCTAAGGTAGCGAAAGAAACATTAAGTGAATCGATATGCATACGCCTAATGCGCTTATCAAAACCCCGATTTACACCTAGTGGCAGCGTAACTTCAGATGTCTATACCAAGTGATTGTGACTGATTGTGGCCACAAGTAAACATATTAATATCAAAAGAAAGATAAATAAATTGCTCTGACAATTTTGATGATTTAGAAATATGCTAATTATGTTTTAACTAATGGGGAATGTAACACAATATTTGTTGAGGATCACCTTTCTGAAATTGTTACGTGAAAAACTTTTTTATTCAAAACTATGTCGTTAGTTGAGAATGCTGCAATTACCAACTTAATCGCAACTAGTTATAATCTTGGATGGGTTCCTCACTCAGAAATTACCGAAATAAAGTCTAGTCTAATTGATACTGTTCACTACGCCATTCACAAACGTACACAAGATTATGGCACAGTTCAGAAAACGATGATAATGCTGGTATTCCTCGGAAACAACGAAGAATGTTCAACAACACTTGTGAGTGAGTTTGCCAGAATATTCTCACTTCCAACACACAAGCAGGATAGCAATAGCGACAACTTTAGACGATATTCCAGATGGCTTAAGGAACGCAACAGCATGATAAAAGGGTTTACCAAATACGATAACAACTATTACATGGTTGCGAATGAACTCTTTTACTACTGTTATTCCCGATATGGATTCTGCTCTGCATGTGGAATACT